AAAAAAAAAAGAAAGAAGATAAAAAATTATTATAAAATGCCTTGTATTCTTTCCCTTCACACATTATCGATGAAGAGGCGGAGAAGAGAATGAAAGAAGCGATAGAATTTTTTTTTTCTTTTCTGGTACAATAAAAAGATTTTTCTGTTCAGTCTCAATCTCTTTGTGTAGTAGTAGAATAGAATGTGAGTATATTAATAGAATATGACAGAGATTTATAAGATTACATCATGAAAATCTGATCTCATCCTTATACGTATATAAATAACCGTGAATTCAATTCTCATTCGCCTTCAAGCAAAATATCCAACAACTTAACTATATTTTTTGTTTATACAACCATTGAATACATATATCCGTACATCTTGTAATAATGACCATTTAAGTATGTTTTATAGTTATTTCTTTTTTTTTTTTACGTAATATATCAGTCTTATTTCATTTATATTTTATTTATCATTAATTGTTATCGTTGTACATAGATAAGTATAAAATATGAAAATGTCTCGACATTTTCATAATTTTTTAATAGGACATAAAATAACTATATTATGTTCTATATAATTAAGTTAATTACTATTTCAATTAGTAGTAAACTGTATTAATAGAAGAGACAAAAAAAAAGAAAAGAAATGATAGCATCAACATGCTTGTTTTCTTCTCTCTTATCATTGATAATAATGACAAGATTAATTCATTTTCGTAAAATTTTTAGATATCAAAATTGTATATGACTATGTCTACAATGAATAACTTATATATTTTATTCATTATAATTCTTGCTGATGTCTCTTCGAATATAATCCTATCGGAATATGGTGAATATAGTTATAATAGATTTTGAATAAAAAAAAAAAAAAAAGAAAACAATTTTTGTATATCTTTTTTTAAGAACAATGTAATATGCCATTAGGTATGGAATCAGGTTTGATAGCTGATAGTGATTTGACCTCGAGTTCAACTCACGATGTGAGTAGCGTTGGCCCTCAAATGTCAAGGTAAAAGCATCATTTTTCTTTTAATATAAAAATAAAATAAACAACACTGATTAATCAAAAATTGACATAAGATTTATTCTTTTTTAAATAGAATTCGAATTGAATTAGAAGGTGGTGCCTGGTGTCCAAATAAACCAATAGGATCAAAATCATATGAATATGTTCAAATTGAATTACATAAATTATATTTTATAAATGCTATCGAAACTCAAGGACGATTTGATAATGGACATGGAAATGAATATGCTGAATATTATCAAATTGAATATCAACGAGAAAATAATTCATCATATTGGATACCTTATTATAATAAAAAAACAAATAAAACTGTATGATAATAATCATGAGTTCTTTAAATTAAATTTTATTATCATTTATTTCTTTTTTTTTTGTTTTGTTTTACTTTAGATTCTCAAAGGAAATGTCAATACATATGTAGCAGAAAAACGTTTCCTTTCATCACCAATTATAGCAAAACGTATTCGAATTATACCTTACAGTCCACGTTGGCGAACTGTTTGTATGCGAATTGAACTTTATGGATGTGTTTTCCATGGTTTTATATATTCATATTATGGATAAAACGAAATATTGTTCATATTTTTTTTTCTTTACTATAGGTGGTATTATATCATATACAACTTCACCAAGTATAGATAAAGATGATATATATGATGGTAAACTTAATTTTTTCATTATATTATTTATATTCTTCTTTTTCTCTTGTTTAGGTGGAATTGGAATATTAACTGATGGAATTATTGGAGATAATGAAAATACTTGGCTTGCTTGGAATAAATCTCCTGTTTCAATTAAATTTGATTTTGATACATTTCGACATTTTAAAATTATTCAAATTTATTCTATGAAAAATAAATATCGTTCAATTCAAATTAAATTTGATAATAATTTATTAATAAAACATCAAATATCATCAATAGCAACATTATTATCAACAATATTTGTTGATACAATTCAATTAAATAAATCTAAAACAATGATCATTGGAAAACAAGTAGAAATTCTATTTGAATTTGATAATGAACCTCTTTTTCTAACTGAAATTACATTTGATAATGAACCAGTAATGTCAATCAATACAACATTACCAACTATAACTACAACAATATGTCCTATGGGTGAGTTATTAAGAGTCAGCAAAAAAAACCAGATAAGATATGTTCTATATTGTAAACAAAAAGAATTAGATAAGATGTCTTGACGGTCAACGGTAGAATAAACATTTTAATTCTACGATATGATAATGTATATGAAGAAGAGTGAGAGTAACAATCATTAAAATATCTTTAAGCTACTATATAGATCGACCCTCATGCATAATGAACTATGACAAATCATATTTTCTACTTATTTAACTGTATTAATTCAAATGATAATTATTGATTGTAATCCATAATTGAACAAATCTAAATACAATTTCATTTGTTCGATAAAAATCGAATATTTTTGATATGAATTGATTCTATTTTCAAGATAAAAACCTTGATGCAAGAAATATCCTTGATAGAAACAACATTGAACTCTAATATTTAATTGTATCGATCGATCATGTTAAGATAAGAAATACATCTAACCTTTTCTTACTGTCAGTAGAAGATTTTCTAAACTGATTAATATTCTTCTATTTATTATTATATAATATCTAATTTATATTTAGCGTGTTCAGCTTCAAATAATAAAATAACATTAATATCATCATCATCATCATCATCAATAATATCATTGGAATGGTTAACAATATTAATATTTTCAATTTGTTCTTTTTGTTTTATACTTTTATTTATTCTTTTAATACTTCGTATTCGTCATTGTCATTTACGTAAAAAAACTGATATTTATTATAAATGTTCTCATTTAACAAATACAACAAATGGTTCATCAATTGAAAATGATCAAAATCAATTAACTAAAAAAAATAATTATGATGATGTGACATCAATGGGTTCATATATATATCCAATAACATCAACAACATCATTATTACATACGAGTTCACCATCATCATTATTTAAAAGTGAACAATATGCTATTATTGATGGAAATTCTTATGCAGATTGTTCAACAAATAATGTAAAAAGAAAAAAAATACCGCTAAACTCTAAAATTTAAATTTGATTTTTTTTTCTATTATATTTATTTAATTTTTCTTTTGTAGACATTTCATTATGCATCATCAGATATTGAACATAATTCTTTGAAATTAATGAATTTATTTAATTGTGTTGCTTTACAAGAAGTAACACCTTCGAAATGTAATTATTCATTTCCACCTCCTGTTGATCAATCAAAATTATTTTCATTATGCAAAATATCTGAATCAAAATATGGAGAAATTTTCGTAGGGAAATATTCATTGGATAATCAGTCAAAATCTGTATTAATTAAACTAATAAAAACAAATATGATTGATTCATCAAAGTATACAAAAAAGAATTTTTATAAAAATTCAAAATAAATTCTTTTTTTGTTTTTTGTTTTTAGATCAAGATTTTTATCAGAATTGAATATTTTATCTCGTTTAAATCATATTAATATTGCATGTGTATGTGCAATAGAACTTGATTTACTTTATTTTGTTCAAGAACATTCAGATTTAGGTACTTTGCAAGATTATTTTCATTCAACAATAAATGAATCAACATTTCAAAAGTAGAAAAAAAAAAATTTATTTTGATTAAACATTGTTTTAAAATTTTCTTCTAGAATGAATATTTATTTTTCTCATCAATTATCAAATGCTCTTGAATATTTATCTCATTTAAATATAATTCATAATGATATTGCAACAAGAAATTGTCTCTTGTTTTCCGATTTTACTATTAAATTAACCGATTGTGCCATGGCTTTATCACAATATGAACATGAATATTGGTTATCTAATAATGGAGAAAAAATTCCATTGAGATGGTTTGCACCAGAAGCATTAACAGTAAAAAAACAAAAAAAAAAAAAATTTTTCTTTTAAAGAATATTTAGTCTTGAATAAACTTATTTCTTAATTTTAGACTAATGCAACATTAAAATCTGATATTTATTCATTCGCTGTAACATTATGGGAAATTTGGTCTCGATGTTCATATTTACCACATACATCATTAACAAATGAAGAACTTTATCAATATCTTGTCTATCGACAATCATCAAATCAAATAGAAGATTTAAATGAATATATAATTCGTTTATCTCAACCACCTGATTGTTCGAAAGAAATTTATGATTTATTATGTGAATGTTGGCATATTGATGGAACGAAACGGCCGCATATATCAGATATTGCACTTTATTTTAGACGACAAATTAATAGTTTATCATAATTTAAGTATTGTTTTTAATAACTATTGTGAGTGTGTTTGTTTTTTTTAAAAATTGTAATGATGTCTGTTCTAAAGTTTTTCTCTTTTTTTTTGTTTTTCTTTGTGTATATGTGCATTTCATAAACCTTTGCATGAAAAAAAAAAAACAAAGAATAAAAGATACAAGCGAAAATTTTTATTATGAACATATTCATTTCAATCTACCAATAAGAAAAAAAAAAACAAAAATGCAACATAGCTAGATAATAATCATTCTAATAATTATAATTCAGTACTTGGTTCCATCAATTGAGGATGTTGTTGTTTTTGATTACTAGATAAATAACTTAAATTTTCATTTCCTGCAGGTATATTTTTACCGGCAAGTAATAATGCTGGATTAGCATCACTAAAATGTGTACGTGGTCGATGAAAATATCTAACATATTCTTCATATGTTTGTCGAATACGTTTTCCAGTTGAATCAGTAAATTCTTTTTTCATAATACTTCCTGTTGGACGAATTTCTCGTATCATTTGTTGACTAGCTGTTAAATCATACCATTCATTACGTATACATAATGAACAATCATGTAAACATGACCAACGATTTGGACAACAAGGAAAACAACCACAACACCAAAATGATGAACATGCTTGACGAGATGAATCTCGTATTGAACGCATTAAAAAAAATGAAAGCCATGGATTAATAGCACGATTAATTAAACGAAGAATAATTAAAGGAATATCAATTGCATATAAAATATTAATTGAAAATAAATTTAATTCAATTGATGGATGATAAATACGAACTAGACGATAAATATAATATGGTAATTGACATATTATAAAGACGATTACATATAAAACAACCTAAATATAACATAGACATGATTTTATCAACATAATTTTTTTTTTCTTTTTATTTAAATTTAGTTTTGACTTTATTAATAAATATTGAAGAAAATTTTATTGTCTAAATGTGACCTTTCTTCTTTTTTTATAAAGAAATACCATTTCATGCAATGAGCATTATTCCGAATTCCTTCTCTCCAGCCAGTAAAAAAAGAAGTCAACATGTATCAGTTGTTGCTAAGAGTGGCTTCTCTCCTTTGACTTTTTCATTGGCACTCTCTGTTCGTTTCCTTTTGATATCAAAAGGAAGCGAACAGATGGTGTCAATAAAAAAAAAACCAAAGGAGAGAAACCGTTTCTTAGCAACAATTGATATACGTTAATTCAAATTTTTACTGCCTGAAAGCTTATCAATGAATTGACAATAATACTTATTGATATTGAATCAATGAAAAAATCTTATACAAATGCTAATCAAACTCTTTTCAAGCATAGAAAATTTTTCTGATTAACATGACAATAGAATGATTTTGATTTATATAACTTATCAGTCATCCTACCTTCTGGATATTTTATATTCGAAAAGAATAGTAATATATTCATTTATTTGTTCTGATAAAATATCTAAATCGGCTTTTTTTTTGCTTTCTGTTCAATATACTAATGTCAGTACTTGACTATATATCTTCAAAAGGCCTTTTTTTTTTAAATTAGATTAGTTGACATTCAATTTTCAAGTCTTTAGAATATGCTGTACTGATAAATCTATAACATACCATTTTCGTTAAATTTGGATGTTCATCATCATAATTTTTCAAATCAAATTGTTTATATGTATTTAAATCTAATTCAGTAAGATTTATATCTGTATTAGTTTTATATTTATTTGTTGTTGATTTTCTATAAATAAAAAATCGTATAATTAATAATAAAATCATTAAAAATATTGGTAAAGCATTTCCAAATATAAAATCAAGTAAATAAATTGTTTTTATAGGTAATTGAATATTTCGTAAATCTAACCAATTTAATTCATTTATTTGTGTTCCATTATAAATACATTCATATGAACCATAATTAAATGATTTTAATTGTTGATCAATAAATAATGTTGGTATTAATGCATAACAAACAGCAAGCCAAAGTGATATTAATATACAAATACCAGTTATAAAACGACGTATACCATAACAACATGTTTTTCTTTTTACACAACGATCAAGACATAAAAATACAATTGTATAAGCAAGAAGAAAATCCATTATACGTAATATATACATTTCAGATTTACACCATGAATCATTTAACCATTTACCATTATTTAAAGCAAAATGTTCACCTAAATCAGCATAGGATACCATTTTAACTGTATAAAATATTAATGTCCATATTGTTCCTTCAATAATTAAATTCCATATAAGTACATGAATACTTTTTCGACTATATCGGTCAGTACTAACACATAATGAATAAAAATTTAATGTATTACCAATAAGAGCAAA